AAGGCTGGACTCAAGGGCCACCGGGCTGCTGCAGGGCTGGTGAGTGACCTCTCCGTGGCTCACCTTTGTCCATAGGCGAGCTCTGCTATAAAGCATCTCTCTGACTGAGCGTAAGTCCTAGCTGGTGCCTTGGGGTCCCACCACAGTGCTGACCCGATGGAAAGCTTGACCAAGACTTTTGGTCCCTGTAGTGAAAAATACATTTCATGAAAACAGATCACTGTGCAGATGGGAAGGGACATCTATCCTGAACAGCCAGCACTAAACAAGCCAACAAATAAATGTTCTCCAAGGAGGACCCAAAAGAATAAAATCACTTGTAGATGATTCTGTGTCCTCCTTCTTCAGGGTCTCTTTCCAGCTTCTGACAAGTCCAGGCAGTTCTCTACTCAGTATCTCTAATGGGTTGTATCAAAGCAGTGCCAACAAAATAAGTCCAAAATCTAACTCAAGCTCTACACCCTCCCTGCTTTCTCATCCTGTGTCTTTCGTCTAGAGCTGCCCATTACTGTGAACATCAGATGTTCTGAGTCCACTGTTACCCTGGGCACCTCTGTCACCGTTTTCACACTACAGTGTTCTCCTGAGTTCACTTCTTAACTTCTCTTGAATTTGTTTGTTTCTTGACTTCCTATCACCTCCACTGCCCTACTCCATACCAATCCTGTCTTTCACCTTTACTACTGTAATAACCTCATAATCAATATCTCAGCATCTATGCGGGCTCCTGTACTAATGATTCTCCACTCAGCAGACAGAGTCTTTCTGAAATGCAAATTTGAGCAAGACATTAAATGCTCTCTCCTCCATCTCTCAGCTTGAAATTTATCGATGGCTTTTCATTGCTTTTAGATAAAGAGCAAGATCTTCAAATTAAGCTACAAGATTTTAAATCACCTGGCCCCCAGATAGTTCTCTACAAACTTTGTACTTAGGGTTGCACAAAGATCGTGGGTTGGTAATACAAAGATGGGTGTGGTAGTCTCTGGTGGCAGGAAGAATACTTTCGTGTAAGATTCCATTTGTAGGCTTGAAGTTTGTCTAATCTGTTTTCTGTTGCTACAAGATTCATGAGACTGAGTCATTTATAAAGAATAGCGGTTTGCTTAGCTCACGATTCTGGAGACTGAAAGTCCAAGAGAATGGCGCTACCATTGAGTAAATGGATAACACCGTGGAGGGCAACACATGGTGAGAAAGGAGAGTACACTAGCTCAGATCTCTCTCTTCTACAAAGCCATTCGCAATACCACGGGGTCTCATGCCCAGGATCGCATCTAATCTTAATTACTTCTCAAATACCCCATCTTCAAATACCACTAATGTACAAATCTGGAGATTAGTTTTCAACACGAGAACTTTTGGGAAGACACAGGCAAACCATAGCAGAATCAATTACAGCTTTTATGGGGTGCTGTGAGGTGTACAGTCCTGACTTGTATGCATGTTTTACTGGAGGCAGGAGTCTGATCAGATGATGGCTCACATTTCTTTCCAGTTCAGTTATTCTGTGATGTTGTAACTGACTTCCTAGAAACATTGACATCACTAGAGGACCTTAAGTCCATCCCTGCCCCTGCCCCTCCATGAAAGACTCAAATAGCAGACGGGAAGCAGACAGCCTCATGGAGTCACACTGCCTCTGGGTTGTATGACCTGTGAGAATCCTTAGATTATTTTGCTTAAAATGTGTTAAGAACATTTTTTTATCATGTTTTGAACAATAAATGTCATCCTCTTCTACCGGCAGTGGCAGTCCTAATTTATAGATGAACCGGGCAGCCAGGAGCTCTGTTGTCCTCAGCAATACATGTCCTGTCAGGGCTTCCTTTGGCATTTAGCAGAGTAAAGAAAGGGTCATGAGCAGCTGTTTTCCTGAAACATTTCCATCTCAATCCCCAGTACACATCCTCGTCATCATCATCAGCCAAAGAAATTACCAGAATTAACCTTATTTTTCTAAAGGGAATTACAGATCCTGACTTATTATCACCCTTTAAAATGTCCTGGTTTGGAGAATCATCTGTACAGTTTATCAGGCATTAGAGGAAACTCGAGACTTCTAGGCTGCTGCCCCTTATCCCTGGATTCTCACACTTACCTGTCTCTGTATCTGAGCCCATCCTCATTCTTCCTCAGAACCCCAAATCTACTGTATTCTCCATGACCTGCAACTTGCTGTCTCTCTCTCTTGAATATCCCTTCAGAACCTTTGTTCTAAGTGACACATGAGTCTCCTTGGGAAAACTGCTTCTTATTTGGGCTTGAACCTGGTGGAATGGTGTCCTCTCTTCTCTAAATCGTTGCCTTTAGATTCCTAACTTTCCTACTCCCTGAAAACATCTAACACTGACCCAACTCACATCATCATGTGATTGTCCCCCCTTCTTATTGTGGATTTCAGCAGACTCCCACAACACTCAGATTTTTGTTCCTGAAGATTTGGACTCACCATTCCTTTTCATTGTCTTTATCATTCCCTTGACAAAGTTCTTGGGAACATTAATACTGATAGAGATGATAGCACCCAAATTTTAACCTCTTAGCTCTTTAACCTGTTCCTCTCTAGCAACCGTTTCTTTCAAGAAACCTAGGTCATCATTGTCTACTACAGACTTTTTCCTTATCAATAATTACATCTCCTCTGAACCTTTATTTCTGTATTTATCTTTGCAGTCTACTATGGCTGCAGCTCTCTCCCTTTTGCAAATCTTAGCTCTAACCATGCTTTGAGCCATTGAAGTCCATATTCAGTCTCATCATTTTCATATGTCTTCACCCCCTCAAGTTCTAAGTTTCCACCATTCCATAATGATCATTACAATCTTTTCTAAAATTCTCCGTTTCCTACCTGACCCATTCCTCTGCCATACTCAATGGAAAATACCCAATTCTGCTCAAATCTTACTCTCAGCCTACTCCCTGACTGCATGTGTCACAGCATGACTGGGAAAACACACCATGCAGACACAAATCTATAAGCATGTGTAGGCTTTTAATGCTGTTTCCCTAAATGGATTTCCATAGTCCATTTATTTTCTTCTCTTCCCAAAGCAATGTTACTCCCAAGGCTGATTTTGCACCTGTGGGAGATATACAATATTTTAGGCACATGAGGCTGTCAATAATTGAAAAGGGATGCTGCTGATTTCTGGTAGAAAAGGCCAGGAATGCTGCTAAATATCCTACAATATTCAGGATGCTCCCCAGTAATTATGTGGCCCAAAATGCATGGTATGAAGCCACTGGGGTTGAGAAACCCTGTTCTAAAGCCTTGGCATTCACACCATATCTGCAGGCCTACTGTATCTGCATTATATTCGATCTTGAAATCTTGAATTTCACTCCACATGCCAGACTTGTTGAAGTGGATTCTGCACTTGAACAAGATGCTTAGGTGATATGCAAGCACATAAAAATATTTGAAACCCCTTCCACACCTTTTTTTACTTCCTTACACTTATCACACCACCCTTCCTTCACGCTCTGCTGAATCTTGCTTGCTACTGCACTGAACAGCAGAAGCATTCAGGAGACACCTTACAGATGACCGCATCATCCAGCTTCCTGTCCCATTACATCTGTATCCAGACTCCCTGCCTGCTCTTGGGATGTCATGGTAGCATGATCCGCACTCTCATCTAAGTGTAACCCCTCCTTCCATGCTCAAAAATCACATCTTGTGCTCACTAAAGGTCACTGCTCCGGACATAACTTTCTTCCTCTTAGCATCACTATTTCCTCATTGCTGCTAGGTAATTTCCAGCAGCATACAAACTATCTGATATATCTTACTTGTAAGAAAAAAGCCCAACAAAGCAAAACAAAATACAACTCCCTTCAGCCTGTGTGCCTTCCAGCTACCAGTGTTTCTCTTTGCCTTTTTAAACCACACTACCTAGAAAAAGTTAATTATTTGTTTCTCCAAATTTTGTCTTTCTATTCTCTTGTCATCCTAATCCTATGAGCTTTTCTTTCCCTACTTCACTGTAACTGCTTTCTTTTCTGAATGAGCACTGACCACTACTGCTGTAAGGGCAGTGGTTGTTTCTCTGCCCTCACGTTACTTGGATCATGAACATCACTGACAAACGCCAAGAAACTTTTTCTTTACTTGTGTTTCAGCACCTCAGTCTCTTGCTTCTTCTACCATCTCACTGACCGTCTCTCTACTCCTTTTCTGCCTCCCTGGTTTCAGCAGCCTCTTGACCCTTGAGTGTCCTTCATCTCAGCCCTTGGGTGTTGATTCTTGCAGTCTATGGAACCAGCAGTACCAGCATCAGCTGGGAAGCTATTGCAAACACAGGACCCCACCCCAAAAATATGAATCAGAGTCTGAACTTTGACCAATCCCTGCCTCCTCTAAGCAACTCATGTGCACATAACTGGCCTGGCCTATTAATTCCTAACCCTAGCTGCATATCAGAATCACGTGCAGAGCTTTCAAAACACATGCTTTCTAGGCACCATCTAAAGTCAATTACATAAGAATCCCCAGGCAGTAGAAAACAGGTTTTAGGTTGTTTAAAACTCTCCAGATGATTCCAAGATGAAACAGTGACAGCCTCTGCAGTTGTCCTCGTGATCCCCTCGTGATCATGATGCTGTGCTGGCATCTGCACGTACTTTATATTTCACCCTGTCATTAAGTAGGGAAGGCACCTGAAGTTACTTCTAGTACATGGAGTATTGACAAAGGTTTCCCATGGTGAGGTTACACTGTATGGTAAAGGTGTCAGGACGTCCTTCCTGTGATTATCTTATCTTATATGTGACCCTTTCTTAGCCTATTAGTTTTCCTTGTTGGCTTGATGAAGTAGGGCCCTGTTGAGGGGCTCAGTGAGCTCAGAGGGAGCGCTGTGACTTGCATCTCAAATGTCTCCTGGAATTGGTGGAACCTTTAGGAGGCAGGGCCGATGGGAAAGGTGTTAGGACACTGCGGTGTGCTGCACTTGCGGAGGATTTTGGGACCTCAACCTTGTCTGCTTTCTCCTTTTCAGTTGCCTGGAGGTGAACAGTTTTGCTCTCTACCACATGCTTCCCATCCCAGGGTCCTGTCTCAGTGCAGTCTCCCAAACAAGGAAGCCAACTGACTTCTGACCATGGACTGAAACTTCTGCAAACATGAGCCAAAATAAATCTCTTCCTTAGAGGTTTATCTCAGGCATTCGTCACAAGTACAGAAAGCTGGCTAACCCAGGTAGGCTCTGGGAACTATAAAGGATTCCTAGAAACTGTCTTCCACCTGCCAGACTTCAAAACCTCAAGGCCTGCACTCATACAGCTGCAGGGAAATGAATTCTGCTAATAGCCAAATGAGCTCAAAATTGGATTCTCTCCCAGTTGAGCCTCCAGATGGGAACACAGCCCAGGTGATAACTTTGATTGTAGCCTTTGTGAGACTCTGAACAGAGAGTGAAGATAAGCCATGGCTGAAATGTCTGACTCAAACAAACTGATATAATGAGTTTATGCTATTTTAAGCCACTAAATTTGTTATACAACAACAGCAACAAAGTAGTGTAGCACCCAAGATGGGGAACTACTTATCTCATGTATTTCATTCAACTGTAGTCTTTAAAGTCGTATATTATGTTCTGTATGGCCAGTGTTGTGGTTTAGATGCAGGCTGTCTCCCAAAGCCGCATACATTCAGGGTGATTTGTGCAGGGATGCTGACCTGCTGTTAGGAGGTGGGTCTGGTCACAAAGGTGGGTCACTGGGAGTGTGACTTGGAAGGGTTTATCTCCCAGGTTTCTCTCCCTCCCTGACTCTTCCCTGTCTCTCCTTCCTGGCTGCCATGAGCTGAGCTGCTCTCCTGCTCTAGTCCTTTTCCTGTGCACTTCCTGCCTTGGAGCCAGCTCACCAGCCAAAATGCGCCAAAATGAACCTATTTTTCTTTAAGCTGTTGCTGTTGAGTATTTTGTTTCAGCAATAAAAACTGATTGAGACACTTGATAAAAAACCAGTCCCGTGTTTGGTGGTTTAAGATAACTGTATTGTTCTTTGGATCATGCTTCTGTGAGCTGCCATTTGGTCTGGACTCAGCTGGTCAGTCGGTGTCCTTGTGGCTTGTCCACATTCAGTTCTCAGCTGGGCTTACTCACACGTCTTAAGCCCCAGGCAGGATGTTGCATGGCTGGGATCCTTTCCACCTGATTTCGCATTCCCCAGCCGGTTCTCCTAAGCCTGTTCACAGGATGCTACAAAAATTCCCAGCTCGAGTAGAGCTTTTGAGGCTTGAGCTTGGGACTTGTCTGAAATTTCCATTGCATTCTATTGCATTTGATTGGTCAGAGTAAGTAGAAGTTGAGCTCAGTTTAGTCTGTGCATTAATGGGAGAAGATGACAAGAATTTGTGGACATTTTTGCAACCTTGGTATAATCATTATTCAGGTAGTTCTGAGAGAACCTTGCCTCCCTTGAGCTGAGACCTATGAAGGAATTTGAAAGCCCTGCTCTCTCCTTCACTTATGGAGTGGGATGAACTTTGGCAATTTGCAAAACTGCCTGAAATTAATATTCAATGTTTATAAATGAAATTGTTAATCTGTGCCATATAGAATTGTGGTAACAATTACTGGTAGATCAAGTGCCTGAAAACGCTAGCATTGTACACTCTCAGAGAATGCTTGTTTCTTTGTATTAAGTTTTGCATGCATCATCTAATTTAATCTCTATCATGTCACTTTAAGTCATATCTTCATTATTTTGGAAACTGAGATTCAGAGAGGTTGGGGACTGTTTCCAAGCTGGGCAAGGCAGAGATAGAACATAAATCCACTCCTGACTGGAGACTTTACAACTCTTGCATTTTTCATAAGAAACATCAACTTTCTCTCCAGACACAGAAGTGAGTCTGAACATTAGAAGTCCCTGAGAGCCACCCAGCATTGGTACTTTCAATGCAGCATAATAGCAGCTGAAGATTAAGTGACTCAAGCGGACGAAAAATGTCACACTGACCATAGGAGAAAAACCAACCACATTCTAGCTTGTTCTGAACTATGAGACATCTTAAGTAATGACTCAACTGTGTGTAAATGTGTATTCTATATTTCTATAACTTCACTATTTCCCATATTTTCCCTAATTGAATGAGAGATAACTGGCTTTCAGATTTTTCTGTTCTTATTTTAATTAATCCACCCAAAGCCTGTTCATTCCTTAAATCACTTATTGGTTTATTAGTTAATTGGTATCTTGTTGGTAGTGCAATTAATTGGTCCCTAGCCAATTCTAGAGGCTAGGGAGAGGTGTGTGAAGTCTTTTGGAAGAGTGTTCCCTGACTGAGTGGGATACTGGCCGCGTCAGCAGCAAACAAGGGCCTCTAGTATCATTTCCCCTGCATGCCAGCAAGCTGGAGTCCCCTGCCAGGTGACAGCCTTCAGCATTGGATTCAGTTCTTACCATGCGGCCATGCAGCTCTCACTAGCTGGAACATCTGCACTGATTCCTCAGTAGTCTGAACTACTGCAGTAGTTAGCAGTTGGTGAGACCCTCGTCTCCGAGCCTTTGAAGCATAGTCCAAAGACTATATTTTGAGAGACAAATATGTCCTAATATGGTCTTACATCCACAAGGCATTTGTTTGTTTTTCATTTCTGCAAGGAGATCCTTGAGGCCAGGTAATTGTGTAGAAAAGACATTTATGTAGCTACAGTTTCGGGGATGGGTAGTCCAAACAGTATAGTGCAGCTCTGGAGAAGACCATGTTGATTACATCACCTTGTGTCAGGTGATACTAGGGTGGCGGGACACATGCGAGAGGGAGTGGCTTGATTGCTAGACAGGAATCCAAAGAGGTTTCGAGTTTCCAGGTTTGACTTTTTCATAGCCTTCTCATGAGGGCCAGCAGGGGTCCCATGAGGACCACTTGAGTCCCCTCTGAGGACTTATCCTAAATAACCTAACGATCTCCCACTAGGCCTCATCTTTCAAAGGCTGTACACCATTTCTGTACCAGCATGCTGGAGACCAGCCTCCCAATATATGAAGCCTTGGGGGACACACTCAAACCATATCCAAAACATAGCACGTGACTTATATCTAGGTGACCTGGGACAGGAGACAGCCTGCTGATTTCAAAAGGCTGAGTTTTGCAAAATGGGGACAGAAACACTTGTTTTGCAGCTATCCTGTGGGCAGCTCTGAGCTCTACCCAGTGTGTTATACTTGACACCACTGAAGGCCTGATGTGGACCTGAACTCTTCCCTCTCGCTCAGTGGCCTTAAGGGATACAATAGTATTAGAATACTCATTTTTATAGACAGGGAATCTCTCTCTCTCTCTCTCTCTCTCTCTCTCTCTCTCTCTCTCTTTCTCTCTCTCTCTCTCTCTCTCTCTCTCACACACACACACACACACACACACACACATAGCTTAAATGCTATGTGCCAGGTGCACAGTTGGCAGATGATGACACTTTGATGACATTTGGTTTCAAGTTTGGATGGATGAACTTCAGAACCCGCACGTTTCCTTGTTAGGCAATAATGCTCAGAGGATGCACTTAACAGAAGTCGGTGGATGTTACTGAGGATGATACATTGTGCAGCCACTCTCACGGAGCTCCCCTCTCACCTGATCAGTGTTTTGGGGGTCATGTAGCTACACAACAGTGTTTGTTTTGCCTCATTCCACAAGTGTAGTGCTTGGGCGGGTTCTCAATTTGATTGACTGGTGGAGTGTACTTCTTTCTGGGTGTGTCTGGGTGGGTCATGGAGGCATGGCCTTGGGTCCTGTTCCTGGTCACTCACCCCTTCTTCTTTGGTACTTTGCTCATCACTCCCTTTTGCTATGATGCTTTGTCTTGCAGCTATTTGACCACGAACTGATTCCCCTAAAATGGGAGTCAGATTAAATTTTTTCTCCTTTAAATTGTTAAAATTGAGTATTACTTCCTAGTAACTGGTAAACTGATTAATACAACAAATATTTCTGGAAAACTTCTAAACAGAATCCTCATACAATAAAATTGAAAAGCTTACCCAGCTCCTGAATTCCTGGAGCAGCTGAGTAGAGGCATCCACTGAACAAGAAGGGCCTGAAGTGTTGAATCAGCTGGGACTAGGACCAAGGGAAATGAGCTCTAGGAAATCCGATCAAAAGGAGTTCAAATCGCGCAAGGTCTTGTAGGTTGAAGTCATCCTCTTCCCTTTCCCTGGGGGCCTACAGCAGAGAAGGGTCTTAGTGTTTTTCTTAGTGATTCAAAACAGGTGACCATAAGTACTTTTGATGTTAAATTTCTTATTTAAAACAAAAATAATAAAACGACTCGAGATTTGAAGGCCTATGGCAGACCATTAGGAAAATGGAACTGATGAAATACGTTAAATATGAAAGTAAGACGCTGCCTCTTGATTCTCTCTACCAGAGTTTCCTTTATCAGAGACACCCACCCTCCTCCATTTACGTAAAATCGCATCCAGTCTGCCCTCTGGCTATCCCATCCTAGCAGCCTTTAGGATTGGTTAAAAACACACTTCATGTTCTCTTACAAGGCCTTTCACTTCTGGCTTTTTCCAAATGCTAGATTGCTTCTTCAAAAGAGAAGTTTTATACCCTTGGAGCACTTTCTACCAACATATTATGCCAACACGTCCTCCTAAATCTGTTTTTAAAAATTTACATCTGCTTAAAAATACCTAATCTAGGAGGAATCAGTTACTTTTTCATGAAAAAGGTTCTGAATATTATCTTCTCACCTAAAAATATAGAAAAGAGTTTTTAAAATATTTAGACTAAAAGTCTGTTGAACAAACCAAATTTATAACATATTATAAATCTTAATGAAGTAGTTTTTGAATTAGATGCTGTTTCCCAAAATAAAGGCATACCACAGAAGTTTATTTCTGTAAGCTCTTTTTTTCTTAGAAAGTCAGTTCATCAACATATCTGAAATCCATATACCAAACTGGCAGAAAATCAAGATATTAATTTTATATGCGAGGGAAAGCCTCTGGAGAGTTCCATTTAAATATCTACATCTTGGACTCATTTCAGGCTCTGATTTAAAATCAGAGATTCAATATTTTATGGCAGATTATAAGGCAGAATCCAAAGAATTAGATGAGACATTTTCTGACTCACATTATCTCCTTGATGAACGAAAGGGTTGCTTGCAGATTCATTTTCAGTGTGATTTCCCCATTGGATACGTTCGGGACGCCATGGTGAGAAGCCAGCAGGAAACCCCAGGGAAGAGGTCAGAAATGATGCTATCAGAGAGAGAAATGTCAGGGGACAAGGACTGAAAATTGGAAACAATGAGAGAGAGAAAGGGAGGGCGAGGGAGGAAGTCAAGGAAAGGGCGAAGGCTGGGCTGGAGGGCAGCAGAGAGTTTTCACATGCAAGTCAGAGGACCAGAATACAGTGTGAGAAATAATGCAGGGAGCATCGTCACCAACAGGTTCATTTTGGTTCCTCTTATTTAAACTCTCTTTAAGCCTTCACTTGTAATTAATAAGAACTGCTATTTAAAACATTTCAGAAGGACTTCTGTTAAGTGTTGAAACATAAAAGAAAAATATTAGCCTTTCATCATCTCCAAGAGGAAAAAAGGAACATGATTTATATGTATTCTTTGGAATCAAAGCTCCTTTTAAGTCTCTTGGAGCTGATCATAAATAGAACCCCAAGTCTGATCTTTCCAAATAATAAAATAGTGGCAAAAAGAGATAACGCATCCTATCACTTAAACACTTGGACCACATCATTCAGAATAGTTCAAGAAAATGCTATTGTGTTACTCCTAAGGATGCAGTGCATCAGTTTGTGAAGCAGGGAGTGCTTTTTCTTTTTTCCTATAAAGATGCAACTGCTGATCCTTTAGCTAAATAGGGAACTCTTTGTGGTTGGTTTCCCAAGAGGAGTGATGGCTCAGTGTGCCCTGAGCTCACCACTAGCCCTTCCAAGCCCGTTCTTCCCTGGGGATTGA